AATTTTAATTTCAGATAAACAACTGACATTATTTTAGCGTAAGTGGGTTCCAAACGTGCACTAAAAAAAATTGCTTGTTGTTGACCTGACATTCGTGTGAACTGGGCGCCCTGCGTTTTTATTTGCGAAGTCTGGCAAGCTTCCCCCAGATGCCCGTGAGGCCGCCTGGGGCCAGGACTGCGGTCAGGGGAGAAGTGGCAGAGGCGACCGGCCTTCCGGAGGGACGGATGGAGTGGAGCCCAGAGAGGCCAGATGCTGCGTTTGAAGGAGGGAGGCAACTGGGTCTGGGGAGACGCCAAGTGGGTTCTTGAGGGAAGTAAACAGGCAGTCAGGTATATTTAGCTCTTGTGGCCTTGAGCCCTCAGGCCAGGAAGCAGGCTTTTTAGCCTAAATCCACATTTTAAAAACAGAAATGGAGTATTTATGGCCTCAAACCCTCTGAGAAGGTCCCCTGGGTCATTGCAGGCGGCGGGGTGGAGGGGGTCCCTCTTAGGGCTCCCGCCTCTGGCCACACGGGGCCTGACCTGAGCGTAAGCCTGGGCTCTGGGGAACAGGCCTGCGGGTGGAGGTGGCAGGCCCTACTCTCACTTTCACACCCGCTTCCCTGCCCCGAGCCAGAGAGGTTCCTGGAGGCCAGCCCGGCCAGGCCGTGGGGCCGCTGAGGGGGAGTGAGAGGGAGAGAGCAAGTACACTTGGGAGGCTTATTAAATAAACATCTCAGGGAGGAGGTGTGCTCTCAAGGAGCCTGCGGTCTGCAGCTGACCAGGCCTCCTGGACTGCCCTAGGGTTGCTGCCCCGGCCATGGGGTGGGGGGCAGGGGCGAGGGGAGGTTACAGTGCCTGGAGCTGTTTCCCCAGGCCAGGCTGGCACTAGAAGGGATGCCAGCACCTCGTTCACTGCCTCCAAACCAGAGGACGCCCAGGTTCTTCTTGCTGCTCTTCAGCGTGTGTTTCTCTCAAGCGAGGGAAGATGCTGGTCCCTGCCCAGTGTGGTTCTTGAGGGGTAGAGAGAGGGGCCCTTGGAGAACTCATTCCACAGGTCAGAGCCGGCCACCCAACTTCTTCCCCTTGGATTTACCCACAGGGAAACTGGGGCCTGGCTCATGCAGGGCCTGGTCACGGTCACACAGCTCCTTGGTGGCAGAGCGGACAGGCAGCACTGAAGTGGCAGCCTCTTTCTAGGAATATTCTCTCCCTTCTGGCCCAGTTCACCTCCTCTGCAGCCGCAGGGCCTGGGCCAGCATCAGGCCTGTGCCTCTGGGCAGAGGTGGCAGGGGCTGGCTTCGTCGTTTGCACCCTGGTGCTCCTCAGAGGTCTTGGGTGCATGTAGACTGTGGGTGGCCTGGCTTCCAGTCACCCAGTCAAGCCTCTCCTTTATTTCTGTTTCTCCCTCTCTTCCCCTTGTTTCTCCCAAGTCCTGCCTCCCTGTCTCTCTCTTTCTCTCTCTCTCTCTCTCTCTCTCTCTCTCTCTCTCTCTCTCTCTCTCTCTCTCTCTCTCTCTCTCTCTCTCATTCCGAAGAAGTCTCCCTCTGGCCCTTAAATCACTCTTGAATCCTGGCTCTTAAAACCGGATCTGGCCCCCTCCCCCCATCCCCTCTGTTCCCAGGCTGGAAGAGGGCACGTGGGAGGGGAGGGGCCGGCAGTCAAGGTCCTAGCACCCTCCTGGAGTCAATTAGGGGAAACCAGAAATGTGAGCACAATGAAAGGGCTGGGGGAGGGAACGGAAGTGGGCAGCTGCTCCCTCCCTCCCAGCCGGCCTCCCCGCCCCCTGAAGGCCCTCTCACCCGGGATTGGGGACTGGAACTGGAGGCTGTAGAAACCTGAGCGCTGGAGTGAGGAGGCGGGAAGACCCAGGCTCATCCCTCCTTCCTTCTCTTACGCCCCTCCCCCCTCTTATGCCGTTCTTATAAAATATTTCTCTCTATTTCTCAATCCCTGGTTGGTGTCCCAGGATTACTCAGCTTCTCCTGCTTTAGTCACTCTGTCCACTTCGCCCTGGGTCTGGGGTGGGGGCCGAGGGAGGTGGAGAGGAAAGCTCTCATCAGCCTGGCTGGGACTGGGCCGGGCATTCCAGGGGCTTTAACGTGCCCACTGCCAGGGCACTCCAATTCCCTTGTGAACTCAGCCATTAGAATGCCTAGCTCCTTCCCCCTTCCACACACACACACACACACACACACGCACACACGCACACAGCAATCACACTGTGACGGTGACAGCAGCTAACACTGCACACTTCCCCGGGCGCCTGGGCACTGGATGAGCACCATCTCCTTTAAGCCTCACAAAAGCCCACTTCCCCTCCTTTAGCGTGAATACACATCACCTGGAGATCTTGTTAAAATGCAGATTCAGAGAGCATGCATTTCTTTTTCTTTTTGTATTTTTATTGATTTCTAAGAGGAAGGTTAGAGAGGAAGGGCGAGGATTAGAGAAATAGAAACGTCAATGATGAGAGAGAATCATTGATTGGCTGCTTCCTGCACACTCTACGCTGGGGATCGAGCCCACAACCTGGGCATGCGCCCTGACTAGGAATGGAACCAGGACCGCCTGGTTCATAGGTCGATGCTCAACCACTGAGCCATGCTGGCTGGGCATGAGAGTCTGCCTTTCCAACAAGCTCCCAGGTGGTGCTGAGCCAGGCCAGAATGTGGACTTCCCTGGAGGCCTGTGTCTCCTGTGCAGCGGGGCGGTGGGCAGGCGCTCGCTCTGACACCAGGAGCCTGTCTGGTCCCGGGATCATCTATCTACTCAGCCTCATGGAAGCTGCTCACGTCCATCTTCTGCCCTTTACTCTGTGAGGAGTTTGGAGGGCTGCGCTGCTGCTGGTGACACTCTACATGCACTTACACACACACACACACACACACACACACACACACACACACGGGCCTCACCCTGCTCTAACCTGCGCCGGCTGGGGTGGCCGTGGCCTCGTCTCTTACCTTCTCTGAGCCTTGCTCACCTGATCTGTGAAGTAGGGATAACGCCACACACGTGAGTCTGTGTGACTGTGTGACTCACTGGCTTGCTGCGCTGAGGTCAGAAGCCATCATGCATGTGCACCATCGAGCAAAGCGCCTGGCACGGAGTAGGCCTCTATTTGGAAATGAAGGCCTGGAAGAGCACCCCCTCCTGACTGATAACGGAACTACTCAATGCCTGCTCTGGGCCCGGCCCTCGTTGGAGAAGGGAAGGATGCACAAACCGTAGTTGAAGGCCCCCAGGAGCCCAGAGTCTAGTGTGGAACAGAGAGGCTCCCTTGAGAAGGGCCAGGGCAGGATTTGAGAGCCGTCTCGGCCCTGAGAGAAAGAACAGCTGGCGTATCCTAAGCCCTTACCGTAAGGGAATAGGTTAAAAGAGCTCGGACCTAAACTGAGGCTGTGAGTCCAGAGCCCCTTTCCTCTACCCTGTGTGATAGAGATGGCCTTCCCAGTGCTCCGTGTAGCCGGGGCTGCGTGCTTTGCAGGCATTCGTTAGCTGTTTGTGCTGTGAAGAGTGGCAGTTGCGCTGAAAAACCGGTTTGGCTCAGTGGATAGAGCGTTGGCCTGCGGACTGAAGGGTCCCAGGTTCGATTCCAGTCTGGGGGCATGTACCTTGGTTGTGGGCACATCCCCAGGAGGGGGTGTGCAGGAGGCAGCTGATAGATGTTTCTAACTCTCTATCCCTCTCTCTTCCACTCTCTATAAAAAAACAAAAACAAAACAAGAAACCAATAATAATAATAAAAAAAAAAGAGTGGCAGTTGTGACCCACAGTTCAGCCTCTGACTTTCCTGTCTCTGCAGAAGCGGCTGATGGGAGCTCCACCCTGGGAGCAGGCGCTGGCACCATGGGCCTGAGCGCCCGCTATGGGCCCCAGTTCACCCTGCAGCACGTGCCCGACTACCGCCAGAACGTCTACATCCCCGGCAGCAACGCCACGCTGACCAACGCCGCGGGCAAGCGAGATGGCAAGGCCCCGGCAGGTGGCAACGGCAACAAGAAGAAGTCTGGCAAGAAGGAGAAGAAGTAACGTGGAGGCCGGGCCTGGAGCCACAGGGCCGCCTCCCCCCAACCAGCCCAGCCTCTCCCTGCCTGGGCCCGGGACTGGGGTTTTCAGGGCTCACCCCCAGGCTCCTGGTAGGGCCCAGGCCATGCTTCCCTTGGGAAACAGAAACAAGTGCCCAGTCAACACCACCCTTTCTGTCCCCAGGGGGTTGAATATGCAAAGGGAGTTCTGCTGGGAACCCCCATCCAATCAATTGCTGTGCCCATGGGGGTGGTGGGGTTAGTGTGGACATCATTGATCACACCTGCTTTAGTTACAGCTGAACTCCTCCACCTTCCAAATTCAATCAGGCCCAACTGTCCCGCCTCCAGAACGTGGTGGTGGGGTTAGTGTGGACATCATTGATCACACCTGCTTTAGTTACAGCTGAACTCCTCCATCTTCCAAATTCAATCAGGTCCAACTGCCCCGTCTCCAGAATGTGGTGGTGGAGTCAGTGTAGACATCATTGATCACAGCTGTTTTCGTTACAGCTGAACTCCATCTTCCAAATCCAATCAGGCCCAACCGTCCCGCCTCCTACCCATGCCACCCCACCCCACTCCTATAAAAGCTTCTCTTTCCTGAGTGAGGTGGTTGGGGTGTTGAGGTACCTGGTGACCTAAAGAGGCTCATAATTCTGAAGAGTTGACCTCTTGGCCTCTCCTTCAATTCTCAAACTTCCCCCAAAGCATGGTTTGGTGCCAGTCCCTTCACCTCCTTCTGGAGCCCGAGCCCAAGCTCAAGTTTTGGGAGACATGGTCGCCATTCCACGGTAGTGATGCTTGCTGGGTTTAGGGAGGGCATTTTGCTGCCATGCCTCTTCCCAATGCTCTAGGGACCAGTTGTTTTGTTTTTCATTGTTTGATGTTTCCACTGCATGCTGTGACTGCTCCCTCCCCAAACAGGAGACTCCATTGCATGTTCCAAGACCGTATATGGTGGTAAGATAAAGAGGGAAGGGTATGTATGTGGATTGGGGGGGTGTGGATAAATCTTGACCCATTCGTTAACAGGGTCTTGCAGGAGGCTCAGTATGTTCCCAGGGTACTGACCAGATCCCCAAATTCCAGCCATAAACCAAGCACCAGGCTGAGCCTTCACCTACCACATACATACAAGGCTCCGCCCAAGCAGCCGGCTTTGGGCGGAGCTACCGGGGCCAATGGATTTAAACTGGCATTACAGTCCAAGGAAGGTCTGAGCAGGTTTGGGACCGGGTTCCTTGGAGAGGTCAGAGGGGCTCTGTGGGTGCTGGGTACTCCAGAGGTACCCCTCGTGGAACAATCAGTGTGTCCCCTCCCTGCCATCCCGGCAGGAAGGGAGGGCCAGCTGGGCCATTCTTGGTCCCTGGGTGGAGGAGGCAAGGGATTAGAGTAGGGACCAAGTGGACAGAAATTCTCAGCCCAGGATCAGGCGTCTCCACGGGGCCCCTGCAGTCCCCAAGCCTTGGCCCTTCACCTTGCCAGGTGCCATTTCTTATGTGTGAAGGCCACTGCCCCCCCCCCCCCAGGCCCTCAGCCTACCCCCCTAGTGGCCAGAGCCTGGTTCAAGTCCCCAGTGCCTCCTTGTGCATAAACCTTCCTGCGCCCACCCACTTCTGCCTCCCCCTCCCCAGTCCCGATCCTCTGGCGGGGCTGTGCTAGAACCCCTCCCTCGCCCTTTCAGTAGTGTAGCGACCCCCTGCCCCCCCTTTGGCTGGTGTAGAATAGCCAATAGTGTAGTGCGGTGTGCTTCTCCGTGATGGCGAGTGGGCAGCGGGCGGCGGGCTCCGCGCAGCCGTCTGTCCTTGAACCTGCCTGCGGTGGCCCGTGCTGTGTTTTGTGCTGTGTCCACGCATTGCGGCGACCCCCTCCCCGGTACTGACCCTTATAAGCGCTTCTCTGCATAGTCACGTAGCTCCCCGCCCCCTTTTCTTGTGTCTCACACGCAAGTTTTATACTCTAATATTTATATGGCTTTTTTTTTTCTTTGAAAAAAAAATAATAAAAAGGTTTCTTCTGAAAGGGTGAACGTGTCTGTGTCAGCGCTGGAGGCTCCTGACAAGTTTGGATGAAGGGATTGCGCCGCGGGGTGCACGCTGGAAGGAGGCTGGGGTGGGAGTGGGGGGAGGGCTATTACGGTGTTTGCATCTTGGTTTTTGTGTCCTTTCCACGAGTCTGTGGACTGTCAAGCGTGGTTGTTTGTGCTTGCAGCACCGCTGTGCGTACCGCATGTGATGGTGTGCGGTTGGCTGTAAATCTGATCGTACGCCGTGGGTGCAGTGGGCTCGCGGGTCCATTCTGGGGGAGGGGGTATGTGAACGCGGCGTGTCAGCGCGCAATTGCAGGAGCAGCGGTCTCGGCGGCGGTTCTGAGCTGCAGTCTCCAGGCAGAAGAGGAGCCCCGCGCGCGGGGGCGGAAGCGGGTTGGCGGCTGCAAACTGCGCAGGAGAGGGGGCGGGGAGCGGCTCCTGAGCGCCCACCCTTCTCCGCTGAAATCACACCCCCGCCCCCGGCCCTAGCGGGCTTCGCTGAGGAGGCGGGGGCTCTGCCTGCTCCCCTCCTCCCACTCCACCTGGGTGTTCGGGAAAGCCGCGGGGGTGGGAGGGAATGAATGCCGGGGGCGATTCTCTGAAGGCCGAGTCTATATCCTGGGCCAGTTTCCCTACTTGGGATTTACCTTCCCACTCGTCTCTCAGCAAAGCCAAGGAAACGGAAGGGCGCATCGCTCTCTTGCCCGGGGGTGGGTGAGGATGGTCTAGGCTGAGGGGGCAAGGAGATAGTCCCCCACCCCCCTATTGCCCTCCTCCTTCCCTCCCTCCCGCCTTCCCATTCACTAGTCGGCTCGCCCACCTGCCCGCCCCGGGAACCGCAGTGGGATTCGGAGGTGGCGGCAGCTGGAGGAGCCGCAGGAGGGAGGGGGAGGGAAGACAGGGAGGGGCGGAAGGACAGAAAGGCTGGCCCACTGCTATCCAGAGGGTCAGCGAGGGGATGACCAACGCCGGGAGGGAGGAGGCTGTCTCTGGGCTTCTCTGCACGGAGCCTCTCAGAGCCGAGCTGTGCGCTCTGCCAGCTCAAGTCTGTTGTCATGGAAACCAAGCCTTCCAACTAAGCATGGGGGGAGGGGGGGCGACTTTCCTGCGTGGGAGGGAGGGTGGTGCGCGCGGTCGCTGAGATGGAACCGGGATTTCGTTTCTGAGAGCCGGGCTGCAGAAGGCGGGCAGCCGGGCGCCTGGGTTCTATTCTAGGCTCCGACTCTCAGAGCAGAGTGTGAGCAGCTGTGGTTGGTCCCTTAATTGGTATGTGCGCCCATATAGCTCTGAGTCAGAAACCCTGGCCTCTGGGGGAGGAGAGGAAGCAGGCAGCCCACCCCCACATCCCCAGACCTACTGGGGAGGCAGCTGCCCAGGCTCCAGAGCTATTTAAAAGGCTTTTATTTCCAGTTCCAGAGCCTGCCCAAATGGGTTTGTGGTCCTGTCCAGGCCCCTCCCGCCCTATTCTGGGCCTGCTCAGAGATTGTAAGGTTTCTTTGTGCAGGTCACAAAGTGCTCAAACAAGTATGACTTTGAGCAGCAAGTCATCTGGAGCATGACCTCTGGCTTCTGACCTCTGCTGGACAGGCTCAGGTTTCCACCCACTGTGTCCCCTCTAGTCTGGAATGTGGTCTGTGGCAGACAAAGGAGGGAGGGGAGATGGAAGCAGGGGTGGGGGAATCATGTTTCCCTCAGCAAGAGGCACAGGTACTACCAGGAAACTGACATCTGGGGGCATGGAGAGGTGGGACCTAGAACTGAATTTAAAAACAGGGTTCCAAGCCAAAGGCAGCAATTAGGAAGGGCGGGGGTCTTGAACTGGGGCCTTTATGGAGGGCAAATGGTGGGAAATAGTGGGGCAGAAGCCACCATGTATTAATCATCTCTAGGCCTCAACCAGTTTCTGGCACATGATGGACACCTGGGACTATTTTACAATGATCTGTCAGTCAACCAGGGATTTGACGCAGGGCAAGATGGAGGGCCTGGATGAGAGGGAAAAGAACTAGCTCAGAAACTCACACGGAGGCTGTACACAGTACTGTTTCAATGCTTTATTAACAGTTGGAAACGAAACCAACAAACTGGAGGTGATGGACATCCCAGAAGCCCAAGAGGCAAGGGAAATAGGTCTGCATTTTGTCCCTTTTTTAAATATTTATTTTTTATTAAATGCATCATAGCAAAAGTAGATTAAAAAAGAAAGGGTCAAAGCCCCAGATGTCAGCAGGGAGGAAGGAGACCTAGGGAGCGGCAGGGCCCTCGTACCAGTCTTCCCAGGACAGCTCAAAGAACTGCTGTTGGCCCTCACACAGGCCCTAGCAACTAGAACCTTCCTCCTGGCCTGAGTGCCCTCGCCTCCCCTTCGCTCCCCCTGCACTAACAACCGTCTCTGGGCCTTAACGGCGCTCTTCTCTCCCTGCCCAGGTGGCGCAGTGTCACCTTGAGCCGGCCTGAGCTTCCTGTGGCTGGGGCCACTGAACAGTTTGGCCTGCCCACTGTTCAGAAGGGAGCAGGAGTACAGAGTGTCCAGTTAGCATCTGCACATTTGGCTTGATAAATATATTAAATTTATAAAAACTCTGGTCTCAGAGCTCCCACTGCTCTTAGGTAGGCCTGGCTCAGCTCAACCAGAGAAGAGCCTCCTCCTCCACCAGAACCGGGTCCTGGGAGAGAGAATCCACACGGCATCAGGGGCCCAGAGCTTGAGGGCTGAGGTGGAGGCCCAGGGGCCCGGCTGAGGCCTGTCGGGGAGAAATCCCAAGGACTCTGGAACCTGCCATCAAAGCTTCTTACATTATGGAGGAGAAAGGGGAAAGGAAGTTATTTTTCTTTAAAAAAAAAAAAAATCTCATACAAAAATAGATCCATTTGCAAAACAATTTCTCAGCCAGGAGGCTCCACCTCCCATTTCCTTGGAGACAGAGGGTGAGGTGTTGGGATGGTCACAATACTCTAGATGAGATGCACCGAAGCTCTGGGGAGGGCAGGAAGGACATGGCTCAGGAGCCTGGGGTGGTGCAGAGGGTCCAGAGAGGCAAGGGCACAAAGCATGGCAGCAGGCTGGGGCAGGCCTCACAACGTCTCTATGCCCGGCTGTCCACGGCTCTGGCCTCAGCCCCATGGGACACATAAAGGAGGTCCAGTCTTTTTTGTTCTGGGAGGCCTTTCTCAGGAAGGAGGAGTAAGGGTGGGATTCTCACCACTTCCTTAGAAGTAGCTCCCAATGCCACACCACTAGTAATAAATAACAGCCAGGAGAAGAAAGAGCAGAGCAGAGGGGACCGCAATGAGAGGTGGGATATAGCCCAAAGGTTCACAAGCCCCATGCTGTTCTCAGGGCCAGAGAAACCACAAAAGAAAAGCACAAACCCAGCAGGATTGACCTATGGGAAGCCCACTGGAGAGCCAGGGGCTGAGAAAGCAGGTGGGACTCTGTCTGAGCCAGGCCTTGGAGTAACAGAGAGGAGACATTTGGGGTTAAGGCAGCGAACATAGAGCCTGCTTTGGTAATGCAACAGCCAGGGCTGGCTGGGTTGGGCTCAGGCCTCCCCCTACCGCCCTCTCCTGCTGGCCCCCAGGCAGGTGAAGCTGTGTGTGACAGACAGAGGGCAGCAGGCCAGAGAGGACAGGGTCAGGGCGATGGGAGTGGCCACCCCACAGGGATATCTCCATGACCCTTAGGCACAGGCTGCAGGCAGGACAGTCTGGGGCTCCACTGAGGAGGAGCCTCGGCCACAGGACCCAGATTAGCTTGCACGGCCAACCAACTCCTTGGTTTCCTCAAGGATTGTGGGGACCCCATCATTCATCTTGGGCACCTTGGCAGCAACAGCAGTCATGGCATCATCCTTGGTCAGCTCCGAGGCCAGCAGAGATGTGACTGCACACCCAGCTTTCCTGTTGGCTGCAAGAGAAGACGTGAGAGAGTTTGTGCACAGAAGGCCCCTCTGAACTCTGGGGTAGACATTTAGCCAGACGCCATGCAAACGTGGCTGCCCTGTCCGGTTCACAGAGGTCCTTATTTGAAGGAGGGGCAGAGATCTAAGAAGTGGGGAATATACCCTTGGGCGGGGTGCAGAGAATATAAGTGAGTGTGGTACCGGCAGGAGAGCAAGCTGTGCTCTTGCTTTCCTTTGTGAAACTAGTACAAAGGTTTGAATACAGCTAGACAGAACAGGGTTCAAGTGTTGGCTGTTTAACTTAGCGAGATAAGTACTCAAAATCGATTTTCTCATTGTAATGTTGTTGGAATGAAATAGCCTCAAGCTTTAGTAAACAGTATTATTCTTGTTTTGTTGGCAGTTTCCAGGAAGTTCCTAGGCCAAAACCACTTTGAGTCAGGCCTGGAGGGGGTTGGGGAAACCACTTTGAGTCAGGCCTGGAGGGGGTTGGGGGGTGGGGGAGCCCCGCTGTCCCAGCGGGCGGGGGGGGGGGGGGGGGGGGGGGGGCCTTCAATAGTCGGCCAGGGAGACTCCTGCAAAGAGGAGTAGCAGCCACGAGCTGACATCACATGCGTGTCACACTCACACGTGTCCCCCACACTTCCTCCCTCTCTCCCCAAATGCCCCCACCCTAGCTCTCTCCCACCTCAAGGGTATGAATGCCAAGGGCCCTGTATGGTGTGTGTGTGTTGGGGTGGGTAATAAGGTAAGGAAAGGTAAGTCGGGGAAGGCAGAGCTAGGGGCAAGGATGGCTAGGAGGGGACTCTACAAAGAAATCTCGGCCCCAAGGGCTAAGGTTCTATGAAGCTCCAGTTGTCATCCTAAACAGGAAGAGAAGAACCAATCAATCCTAGAGTTTCTGGTCTAACCAGAAACTGCTGGTAGCCAATCCCAGACTCTCGTATTCATTAACGGAATCCAGATTTACGGCCCCAGTACCCTCAACAAGAGGCAGTTCCTTGGGACCATGTCCATCTCCGCTGCCTCTTCCCAGGCCCCGGGGGCAGCGTGGACACCACATGTACACAAAGACCTGCCTGCCTGTGGTGACAGAAGCAAGACATTATAATTCCATTTCTTTTCTTTTTTAAATATATTTTATTAATTTTTTATAGAGAGGAAGGGAAAGGGATAGAGAGCTAGAAACATGGATGAGAAAGAGACATCGATCAACTGCCTCCTGCACACCCCCTACCAGGGATGTGCCCGCAACCAATGTACATGCCCTTGTCCGGAATCGAACCTGGGACCTTTCAGTCCGCAGACTGATGCTCTATCCATTGAGCCACACCGGTTTCAGCTATAATTCCATTTCTACAAAATGTCTGAAATGGGCAAATTCATAGAGGTGGAAAGTACGTTAGCTGTTGCCAGGGGTTGGTGGTGGGGAGAATGAGGAGCCACTGCTAATGGGTATGGTGTTTCCTTTTGGGGTGATGAAAATGTTTTGGAATTAAGATAGTGGTGATGGTTGCACAATCTTGGGAGCATACTAAAAGACACTGAATTGTATACTTTAAAGGGTGTATTTTAGGCATGTGGTTTATATCTCAATTAAAAAAAAAAAAGAAAAGAGCTGGCTGGGTCATGGGAAAGCTGAGTGGAGAAAGCAGCGCCTGCATTTTAAGGGGGCAGGACAGAGGAAGCCGGCTCTCCTAAATGCAGACTTCATTCCTGACTGCATTCCTAACTGCAGGCAGCTGCGTCCAGCCTGAGGGAAGGGGTCCAGAAGAGCAGTGAACAAAACACCCAGACAGCTCTGCCTTCTTTAGACCAGCAAGAAGCTCTAGGGAACGCAGAAGCCTAACAGGGTTAGAGGCCCATGTCATCACCAGGGCTGTTAGCTTCTCTGCAGGAACGTGACCACTATGTTCACACAGCAAAGGCTACCTACAGGTCAGCAGGGAGCACACAGCATGCCCACAGTTACCAACTTATAGGACTCTTCCTCCTCCTCCTCCTCCTCCTCCTCCTCCTCCCAGGGGCACAAGGGGTTGTCTATTAAGAGGAAAAAGCAGAGTGAAGGCCCTGATAGACACAAGGCCCATCTGGTTACAGGTAGAAGGTGTATGACCTAGACTCTGGGGTTTTCCACGAACCATTGCATGATCGACAGGGGAGGGAAAGACGTGTACTGGAGTGTGACTAGCATCATCTCTATGTATATTCTTCTCCCGCCTTCCTTCTGTCTCTCGAGCAAATTCTTCCTCAGATCCACTTAGTTTCCACTCTTCTCTGAAATACTCGCCTATCATCCCTATTTCCCGTAATATCACAGAAAAGCAGTAATATCACTTTACTGCTCCTCTGAAGTTACTCTTCAGCAATTAAGATCTGCAAGTATTGTGTATGTGTAGACGTTGGAGTTCAAGTGGTATATGTCTCAAGCCTCTTCTCTCTTTGACTTCTTCCTCTAAACTAAGAAGATACTAAAATCAAGCAGTGTTTCCAGATTTTTCTAAATTAAAAAAGTTTCTGGTTATTGACTTTATAAAAATTAGGAGTGGATGATAGGTGGAGAGAAGACCAAAACCTCTCTTTTAAGCTTAGAGCAGAGATACTCTAGGGATGGGCACATGTGGCCTAAAGTTAACATAAGAAATGAGAGCTCGCCGAAACCGGTTTGGCTCAGTGGATAGAGCATCAGCCTGTGGACTGAAAGGTCCCGGGTTCGATTCTGGTCAAGGGCATGTACCTTGGTTGCGGGCACATCCCCAGTAGGGGGTGTGCAAGAGGCAGCTGATTGATGATTCTCCCTCATCGATGTTTCTATCTCTCTATTTCTCTTCCTCTCTGTAAAAAATAAATTATATATATATATATATATATATATATATATATATATATATTAAAAAAAAAGAAAAAAGAAAAAAAAAAGAAAGAAAGAAAAGAAAAGAAAAAGAAATGAGAGCCCTTGCGGGCTGGAGTGACTCAGAGGTTAAGCATGGACCCATGAACAGAAGGTCACGGTTTGATTCCCGGTCAGGGCACATGTCCAGGTTGTGGGCTTGGTCCCAGGAGGGGGGGTTTGCAGGATCCTGGCAGCTGATGTACGTTTCTTTTCTTTCTCTCTTGATGTCTCTATCTCTCTCTCTCCCCCTTCATCTCTCTGAAATTAATGAAAACATATTTTAAAAAAGGAAAAAAAGAAATGAGAACTCTTGTAGGAACGAGGAACAGAATCGAGGAATCCTGGCTTCCACTGTGCCTTCCGGGCCACGGTCAAGCTGAATAGCTTTTACAACCCAGAAACACTGACCTCTCCCTGCCCCTCCCTAACTCAGGTACTTGTGCTAGGAATACTGAAAAGTAGCCACAGAAGCACATGAGCATTTTGACTCATGGGATCAGGGAGTATTATTAAGTCATAAGAGAACAGAGTATGGGGAAAAGGGAACAATCTTGAGACATTAGTCAAAGCTGAGGTCAGATTCCCAGAAGCCAGGGGTGGGCTAGGATAAAAACACCAGCAAAATCCACCATATAACACTAGTACAGATGAATCAGAAGAAGGTTGATGGCTTGGAAAGACATTTATAAAACACAGGCTAGGAACCACTATTGAAGAGGAAGTGCTCTTGTTAATAAGCTTCCTTAGGGAAGAGGAAACTAGGACAGATGGGGCGATCATTACCATCCTAAAGAACTCATTACTGTTTCAAGTCTCCTAATTATAATTCCTGTCCTAATTTTACCAAAGTGGAGGGAGAATCGGAGGAGTATAGGAATACTCTTAACCTTCTCCAGACAGGTGGCCATCAGAAAACTCCCTGAAGCAATTTCACCCATGTGCAGGGCTCTCCTTGCTGGAAAGTATGAAAGAATATTTCTGTCTACACAGAAGGGTTGCTGTCATCTGTTGTCCAATCACGTAGGCTTGGAAGTAGTGGACTTGGCTTCGCAAAAGTTGCTACAGTTCTGGCTCTATCATTAGCCAGCCCTGTAGACCTGGGCAAGGTCTCATCTGGGTCTTAATTCTTTTACCGATGAAGAGGTTAGGTGCTAATCTCTAGAGGGCTTTAGCATCTTCCCCAACTCTAAGTCTCTATGAGTGTAGGTGGGGTCCTCAGGGAAGCAGGGAAGTGGCAGAGGAAAGGAAAGGGAAATGAATTTCTTTCTTCCCTTGACTTTTATCCCATGCGCAGATGGCCTGTATAAGAGGCTGCCATTCAGACATGGAGATAAAGTTGAGTCATTAAACCACAAGTAGACTCAATCATCAGCCTGAAAGAGTAGCAGCAATACAATCACATGGATTCTTCCCCTTGACACTCAAACCATTGTTTTCCCACACCCTGCAGAGCCCAGCAGTTTACATGTCACTTTTAATGAGCCAGCCCTGATAGTAACTCTCCTCTTCCAACCCCTCAATGCGTCTTTGTATACTGGTCACTCCCTCAGGTCTCCAGAGGCCAAATATTTTTTGGTAACATTCCTTTAAATTCTAGGGAGAAGGCTAGTGTCTTTGAATGGGGACAGCTGCCTCTCTGAGACCGAGGAGGCTGTGAGGCAGATCCGCGTGATAGTGCTGTTTTTTTTTTTTTGATCCAAGCAATTGGCCAGGAGGAACAGTCAGACACCACCAAGCACCAGTTAAGTCCAGCAGCCACCAGAGCCTTTATAGTTCGAGAATCCTATGTCACTGTATTAAAAGATAATAAGCTGGAAAGGACCCCAGAGGCCATTTCAGTCCAACTCTCATTTTATACATGAAAAAACTGATCCCCAGAAACTTGTGTAAGGTAACCAGACTTGACCTGGGGCCTTCGATCCTTGTACTATGCTCTTTGCACTCTACTTTGATGCCTAACCTTCTATTTACATTTAATGTAAGGTCACATCACTTTATATGATGTGAATGCACCCAAGTCTAAACAGCTTACCAGAATAACTAGAAATGTCTCCCCTGATATGTTCAGGTGTGTTCGGTGAACCCAGAAAGATAAGGCTATAGGATGGAGCCAATTTGAGAAGTATGTAGTTCTCATTTTCAATTGGTTTTTGCATCATCTCCTATTATAAGTCTCATCATCCGCAGCTCTAGTCCTTCTTACCCTGCAAACAGTGCTTTAACTGATTCAGATCCTCTGCTGAAAACCCGCTTCCTCTGCCTGGGAGTCCTGCCCTTCCCACTGGGAAGAGTGGCGCATGGGCCTCCCCAGCAGAGGGAAGCTGTCTGGCTGTCTGTGGACAGGAAGCATCTGGGGTTCTAGCAGTTCCACAGGAAGAGGCTTAAAAGGGAATTCCCCATCAAAAGTCTGATACAGGCTGGTGCTTAGCTGAGAGGATACAGGAAAAACAGTGAGATGCAATGTGCTTTTGTTTGGCTAGAAATGCTTAATGGAAGGCCACATCACCTTATATGGTGATTGGGAAACCATGTCACAGAAGTTCAAAGACTAAACACAAAAGCAATACTACCAGCTTCCTTCTCTACCAAACACTGATCTATGGACTAAATGCTCTGTCCTACCCTATCCCCCGAGAGCCTGTACCCAGAGGATGCCAGAACAGGGGTAAGAGGCATAATTAGAGTTCCTCCTGTTACGTCACAGAACGGAATTTCCCTCTGGATATTCCCAGTATGGGTAGAAACAGGCAGTTGGTCATTACAGATGAAACTCACAGTGACTTACAACACTTGAGCCAGGACACTGAGTTTACATGAGTTAGCATTCTCTATACCCTGATCCTCGGGTTCCTCTCCAGGCTCTGACAGGTACTATATGCTCTACAGATACCACTGTATCAATAGCTAAGTGCTGGCCACAGCAAACTGCACAACTCCTCCTCTTTACAATAACCTTAAAGTAAAGGTCATATCAGACAGGCCCACAAATGTACCAGACAGGGAATAAGAACATAGCTCCAACTCCCTTAGAAGTAGAAATCCTTAATGATGCCTTTTCTGTAATTTCCACCCTTCAACCTAGAAAAGAAGCCATCATTCCTAGTCCCAAATGCTGCAGGTCAATAGCACCCGCGGGGTAGCCTAGGCTATATCTTCTGGACTCGTCTGCAGGCCACTGTACACTTCCTTCAAAGGAACGTACCCGATGATCCTTCCTCATACTAATGCCTAGATCATTTGTTCTCCTACCTCCATAATTCTTAGAATTCTAATGGCTCAGCGTAATCCACTTAAACCTTCTAAAGGCGGGGAGAGGAGATTGCAGGGGAGTCACTAGGGAAGGGCAAGTGCAGTAGGGCCCGACTGCACCCAAGGAGAAGGCAGTTCGCAGACACAGCACACTGCTGCCCGTGAGATGCTCCTTCATATCTGGGGAAAACGATGTCCAACCTTCTCTGTAGGATTTTATATTTTTTATTACTCTCTATCTCTTCTGCTTGTGAAGTTGAGAGTAATAAGACTCCTTGCTTATTTTTTCTTTGTGTTTCCTACATCTAATATAGTTGTGTTTCCTACATCTAATATAGTTTTGGGTCAACTTTGTTCATACTCTCAAATGCCCTCCTAAATCTCTGTGACCTGCACCACGGTTAGCTTGCTCCAGGTAACAACTTCACGCATGGGAGAAATGCAAGAATAGCCAAATGTAAGTGATCTGCGGACAGTACCTCAAAAGCCCTAGTTCTCTAAATCAGTACTTTCTAACATGGGAGGAAGAGAACTACACAATCCACTTCAGATGCAGGAACTATCCCGGGAAAGTTTCTAAACCCTTAGAGCATGGTTATCCGCCGCTCTTCAGCCCAAGACAAGCAGGACCAGGAGTAGAGAGGCCCACCCCTTTCACCAGGGGGGAGGCTCCATTTGCTTACTTACCCTGCCGGGGTCCTCTCTTCCGTCGGAATGCTGCACCTGACTGCAGGGCTTCCAGGAGACTGTCCATCACACCTGTTTCATCACCTTCTGTTATGAGCAAAAATGGAGATGTAAGCTCTTCAGCCCAAGCAACATGCATGTGCTGAGCCCCACACAAAATGCATGGCATCTGCTTGGCTTCCCCTCGCCCACAATAGCCAGGGGCTCAGCACAGAGGTCTCAACCTCAAGCCTCAGCCTATACTTGCTTGTGTCTGTCTGAAATGGTTCAAACAAGAGGTTTCATTGCCTACTAACCACTGCAAACCTTGGGATATTTTCCTGCAGTACCCTTTCCTTCCTATCCCAATCAGGACAAACACAGGGAATTGCAGAACTGCCCAACTCCAAGACCAGGATACAGACTGAGACTGGGATTATGAAATTAGCAAGGAACTATATAATTCTCTATTTATTCCAAAGTATTTACTCCAATTTACATAAACCTTTCGTGCAGCACCTGGTTCCAGTTTCAGAGCAGGGCAGAGAAAAGATGAGAGAACAGAGCAAGAGTACATTTCACTGAAGTACTGCCCCCAGTGGCTGCATCGTCCCAAAGCCAGCTAGGTATTTAAGAGAAATATCCTGACTGGAATACAAAGAGTTAATGTAGAATCCTCTTTCCAGCCTGGCTCTGTTTCCATGGTAACAGCTCAGGATGGTGAAATCTGAAACTGCGAAATCCCAAGGAGCCCCAGGCTGCCAGCTACAAGGCTAGGCTCACTGCTCCAAGCGCCACCTGCTGGCTGAACATCACCAATGCAGCTGACCTACATTCCAACCTCATTTGCTTGCCCTGGGCATCCCAGGGCCTGGACAAGGTCAGATGTCACCTGATGACTGGGTACAGCCCTCATACCTGGACAGCTGAGCTGTACATTTCCCTATTACGTCCTAGACAGTACCTGGGGGCAAACCCTAGGTGCCTGAGGAAAATGGGGGAAGGTCAGTATTTGCTGCGGGCTTAAATAGCATTACTAGAATAGTTTGTGGCTTATACACAACTGGGATACGGGCAGAGAATTGCTTCCCAGAAAAGTATGAAGAAAAGATGAAATGTTCTTGCTGCTTCAGGTCCCTGATATTACCACAACAGGAAATGCCAAAGAAAGCCCCTGGAGCAAGAGGTATTAGAGCAGCCCTTGCCTCTTGTGCTCGGCAAACACTCTCATTCTTGCCAAACCCGGCAGCCCTGGAACTTCTTCACTCAGATGGCTCGCAGCCTCTCAGGTTCAAGAAGGGTGGCATCAGCTCAGTGCCGAGCACAATTTCCGCTGGAGCAGCCAGAGGGGGGCAGGGAATCAGCAGCAGGAAAGAAGCGGAGACAGGAAACAGAGGGCCAGTAATTGAGGCCATATGTTTCAACAAAGCCATGCTTCTGGTAGTAAAACAGAGATTCTGTTGGAGAAAGAAGAGGGTGGCCAGGTCCCCTGCCCCCTTTCCAGAAGTTCAATCCGTTTACAATCTGAAAGAGTACATGATTGTGCTGAAGTACTTGGGACACAGTAGTTAGTGAAATATGCAGAAAGGGAGGGAAAGCCACCATGAACAGACAGAAGCAGAGCCAGGAAAACATTGTGGGGGAAAGAACAAAAAATTTAGCAGAGGGTATGAAAGTAGGCCAGAGGCACTTTGGACAGGCAGAAGGAAAGAGTACGAGTTACAGCAATCCTAAAATCACTGGGGAGATGAGACAATGCAGAAACCAGCAGAGGAGAGAAGAGGATGTGAGCCTGGAGAAGTGGCTGTGCATGCCACGGAGTCGGGGTGAAAGCCCAGCATCGGGGTCTTGGAGGGAGAAGGCTGCCAACTCTCTCTTGCCAGGAGCTGAGCTCAGACATGAGCTGTTCTCTCTGGCCTCCAGATTCTGGACAGAGAAGCCTTCCAAATGTTCCTATCTCAGCCCATCAGGCCTTCTCCTCCACTTCTTACCTGCATTCATGTCTATGAGTTGCTCTCTCTTCTGCTGCTTCTCCAGCCGCTCCTTCTCTGCCTTCTCCTTGGCTAGTTTTGCTCGCCGCATCTTTTCCTCGGTCTCCCGCCGCTTCTGGTTCTCCTTGACGGCTTGCTGTGAAGGAAACAGATGAACACATGGGTATGCATGCACTCACCCAATCGCACACCCACCAGCAACCAACCAGAAAGTGAAAAATGTTCCCAAGACTCAGTCAGCAGGCATTCCGTGCTCACCACAAACATATTCTTAAAGTTGTGGAGATCCATGAAGAATTCTTCCACAGACACCTTCTTGGGGTCAAAGAGGAAGTATTCGCCCAGCTCCTTGTAGAGGTTCTCCATGTTAGAGTGCATCATCCGCAGCTTGTTATACTGCTCCTGCGCATCCTTCACAAAGCTGTGCAGCTACGGAGTCAAGGACCAATGCCAAGAAGCAGACCCACTTCGAAGCATGCTCGAGGATGTTCAATACAACACTATTTTTCTCGAGGCAAAAGCCAGAAGCAGTCTATATATCCACAAAGGGGTTATGTTAAATCACTTATAGAATAGGAGGTGGAAGTTAAAAAGAGTCTGTTCTGGATGCAGCGCTGTGGAAACAGGGCTAAAACAGATGGTGGGCAAAAAGCAGTACAATGTACACAATGCAATTTTTGCATCAAATAAATTCATGTGATGCAAATCAAAAAGAGTGGCAGGAGGATACTTCTGGGGAATGGGGAGGGAACACCTACGTGTGCACATGTGTGTGTGTGTGTGTGTGTGTGTGTGGTGGAGATGGGCAGAGGGTAAGGGATCAAGGAGGACTTTTAGCTCATCTGCATGGTTGGCTTCCCCTACCATAATAATGGAATGCTTTCAAAAACTCTGTTTTTAATGAAAATAAAGTTTTTAAGAGTGAAAAATTGTGTATCACCAGATATATGCTATTGCTCCCCCCTCTCCTCCCAAATTCTATCCCTTGCTAGGGGGCAACTCCTTCCTTTCAAGAAAGGATATAGTCATTTTTTCAACAAACTTGTCTTTCTCATCTGTGGCAGCTGGGAAATTTTGAACATCACGTTCCACATCAGAAATTTGTTTCTTCATCTGATCTAGATTCTTTTGCAAGTTTTCAGCAGAAACTAAAGGAAACACAAAAACAGACAGGAAGAGCTTACTAACCCATGTCTTAAGACCTTCAGCCTCTGCCCTTTAGGGCACAGCTCCAGTCTACACAGAGAGCTGGTATTTAATTATTTTAGTTCTCTTATGTACTGCCTAGTCGTTCCTCACTTTTTCCTAATAAAACTGTAAGTTATTTGATGATTGAGTCTAAGCTTCATTTAATTCAACAAAAATCTGTGACATCCCCTGGAGTCCTGATTTCATTTATTTTAGAGAAAAGGGTTTGCAGGAAGGAGACATATACAAAAAGAGAAATCTGTTCCCATTCTACTGAATGCTATTTTTTGTTTATCTAATTTCAGGATGGTGAGACCTAGTTTTTGTTAATCTAATCCAGTCTATGTTTTCTGAATGAGAATAACCATTGTTCTAAACTAAAAAATCTGCCTTTCTTCCAGTTATGGTTGGTGTTTCCCTAGAAAGGCTAAGAGTGCTTCCCACTTCTGTACACAAGGACAATCTCTTGTGCCTGATATTCCTCCCTTATGACTTACACACATGCCTATTCCCACCTAAAACAGCCTGCACTGAAAATAATCTAAAATATAGACTCTTATTTCCCTCCCCCTGCAGAGATTGGTGGGGCTTGGAAGTGCCTTCTAGTTTCATGCAACCTGCTCACCTCGGCTGGCTTTCTCCACATGGGCAAGCTCATCTGGAAACTTGAGGACATCAGGATAGTCATTCTCACATAACTCAGCCAAAAAATGCAACAATGTCATCTTCTGATCTGTGGATTTGGTGTCTCGAAGCTTGGAGAAGAGAAGAAATTTTTTTTTAAAAAAAGTTTAATATTCTTTTTAAAAATATATATATTTTATTGATTCTTTTACAGAGAGGAAGAGAGAGGGATAGAGAACCAGAAACATCAATGAGAGAGAAACATCGATCAGCTGCCACTGGGGATGTGCCCGCAACCAAGGGACATGCCCTTGACCAAAATCGAACCTGGGACCTTTCAGTCTGCAGGCCGACGCTCTATCCACTGAGCCAAACCGGTTTCTGTGGGAATAGAAGAAACTAATACGGTCCTGACAACATTAGTCCAAGAAATTTAGTCCAAGATCACCTGAGGCCAACAGTGATTGCCACACTGGGCTCACCGAGGCTAGCAGCCTCCCCTCTGCCATCTGCCTCACCCTCTGGCTCACCTTGCAGAGGAAGCTGATGTTGAAGCCGAAAGCGCCGGCATTCCTGGAACCAGCGTTCATAAAGTTGCCGACCAGCAGGGTAATCTCCAGGAGGCTAGAGAAGCTCTCGCTCTTCCGCACCTCCTCGCATGCGGCAGTCACGGAAACAATCTCCGGCTTGATGTTCTCCACCTGCTCATTGAACAGCAGCTTGAAGAGGATGGCATTGAGGCGAGGCCGCAGGCGGGGCACAGTGCCCATCTGAGGGAAGACAGCAGCTTCGTTAGAGCCAGAAAAGACAGAAAAGTAAGAAAACATGACATGCTTGAGTCACCTAGGGGAGGATAAGAGTTCCAGAGCAGGGAGGAGAGAGAGAAAGATAATTCAAAACAGACAAGAGGCAAGGAGCAAGGAGCAAGTGCCCCAGCTGCTCTCAGGAGGGAGTAAGGGGGTCAGAGAAGAGCCTGTCGCCACAGGCCTCACTCACCACCACGCCGAACTGCTCCGACTCTGCCAGATCATCATATTCGTCCTTCATTTCGGAAAGCATCTTCAACTGCTCTGGCTCTGGCATCTGCTTAATAAGGTTCTGAAAGGGAGAAGGGACTGTCTTAGTGTGAGGGAGATAAGATGACAACATGAGCCTTCTGTCAGGCCTTCTCTCTGTCCAAGGACCACTAAGAAGGCTAAGAAAGAAACATGAGCCTGTGGGGTGGGGGCAGAGGCAGCTAAAGAGATGGCAGGACTTCTGAGAAGTAGACCAGAAACAGCCTGACCTGCAGAGACGGAAGCTTATGCAAAGCATTCTTTCAGTCAACAGTGCCAGAGGAGGATCCTCATCCTCTGAGCAGAGAGGAAACAAGGCTCGTACCCAGTGATGCAAAGAGCTTGCTCCTTACCTGGATCATAGACTCAGTCAGAACAGCCTCATTCACCTCCAGGATGACATTCTTAATCTCTTGATAGGGCATGCGGAAGGAACCCAAAAAGATAGCTGCCAGAAAATGAGATACAAAGACATGTTATCATCTTGTTCCCCTTCCAGCTCAACCTACAAGACTTTGCTGGACAATTTTCCTACCAGTCAGTGTTTTTTGAAGTCGCTATCAGAAACCTCCACCAGCTCCACTGCTTACGTAGTTCCTGATCTCCTGAGACCATCCAGTGTTTAAGGTTCCCACCTCCCAACTTTCATTAATCCCTGCATCGATGTCACATACGAGCCGCACTGTTCCAAGCACCGCATTCTACAAACCCTGTGACTCTCTGCTTTGCTCCCAGGAAGCCTTTGATCTCCTCTATATACATAAAGACGCTCGCCCCATCTATTTTAGTTCCACACTCTCATGACTCTATCCTCAAAGCCTAGAAATGCTCTGATTCTTAATTTAACTGCCTTATCCCATTTCCTAACAAACACTTCCTATCCTTCTAGCTCTCTCACTCACTAATCTCTAAATGGAAGAGCCTGCCCTTTCTGTATTCCTCCTTCCCCCACTCTCTCTCCCATTCTCTCTCTGAAGAGAGCTGATCATTCCATTTTCTCTGAATGTATCAATTCCCTTGATAGTCTATCACTTCACTCTTTATTATTATTCTCATTTCTAATACCCCTATTTCTGTTCACTTGTTTCCTTCTCCTTCCAGTCCCTGTTAATCTAGCTTCTGATTTTTCTATCCTTATACTGGGCTGATGGACATGAATGTTAGTAAACACTACAGGTCAGAATCTAGGAATTTGTGATGGCATCAAGGATAGCTGAAGCCACAGAGCTGCCTAGTAATCCTTCTGGTGTTCCTAGTCCATAGTGGCTGTCGTCGTAGCTCCACTAAAATGTTCCCATCCTCCAACTGTCCCACCCCTTCCACATTAGTTCTAAGAAGACCTAGCTTCTCTTAAGGGAAAAATTGAAGCCACTGGAGAAATTACTTGCTCAGCTTTCTCTTATGCCACTTGCAAACTAGCATTAGAGACCCTCAGATGGAGCCAGACAATAAAAGGCTTGGGTAAGGACTTTGGAATCATCTAGAAGAAAACTATGCCAACACTTCTGTAAGCTTATCAGCAACTATTCCCATGTACTCATCCTTTCGGTATGTTTCACTACAGCAGGAGGTCCTAATGATCTTTTCCATCAGCTTATATTCAACTGGAGTTTCTCCTATCTTTAAAAACAAGCAAAATCAAAAGCCTCCCTGACCCCAAACCCCTCTCTAATGATCAACTTCTTTCTTTCCTTTACAACATTCTAAAAATATGTATATTGTCTCCCACTTCCACAGCTCTCAATTATTGTCTTGTCCCCACAAAGTCAATGAAAAGATGACAATCACTTAATGAATGTTCACTCCATGTGAGAAACAGTACCTTAAACACAATCTATATACATGATCTCATTTAACCCCATTCCTAATATCCCTTTAAATTTTTAATCCTTTTTTTATTATTATATTTTATTTCTTTATAGAGAGGAAGGGAGAGGGATAGAGAGCCAGAAACATTGATGAGAGTGAAACATCAACCAGCTGCCTCCTGCACACCCCCCACCAGGGATGTGCCCACAACCAATGTACATGCCCCTGACCAGAACCGAACCTGGGACCCTTCAGTCTGCAGGCCGACGCTCTATCCACTGAGCCAAACCGGTTTCGGCTAAATTTGTATTCTTAGCCCCCTTTGACCAAAAAGGAAAATAATACTTCAAGAAGTTAAGCTACCCATCCAAATCCCACTGTACTAGTAAGTGTTAGAGCCAGAATTTAAATACAATTAGATTCCAGAGCCTCTAATCTTAACTCTGATTCTATGCTGAAATTATTCTTACCTTGGCTACTGACTTTCCTAAAGCCAGATGCAAAAGATACTTGTCCAGTCCTGATTTTACTTGACTCTTGTCTTTATCTGACATGTGGACTACTCCCACTTAGGACTATTTCATACAATTTTTCTTGCTGCTCCTTGCTAGCCATTTATCTTTGAGGCTTCCACCTTTTATTATTTGCCATATATATATATATATATATATATATATATATATATATATATATATTTTTTTTTTTTTTTTTCAAACTATAACATTTATTTTTAAAATCACTGAGGTAGAAGTAATTCATAGAAGAAATGGGCTTAGGAAACAAGTTACAGAGGCAAAGGAAGGACTCTTGGAGCTTAGGAAGCTAAAGGTGACATGCCTGGGGGGAGAGGGAGGAAGAAAAGGAGAGGTATGATATGGGTGTGCTCCCAGGAGGGAGAGCTTCCTAAGGGTTCGAAGAATGGAGATTTTAGGGGAAGTCCCAGGGGATGATCTCAATATAATATTCAGCAGCTTTCCAGGTGTGTCCTTTCAGGGTCAGGGTCTCCACTGATTGATTGGTTATCACCAGGTAGGGGGTCATTATTCAATGTAGCTGGTCTTGAGATCAACCTTGGTGCTCCTTGTCTGGTTTTGCTGCTTTTCTGGGCCTGGAGCTGAAATACAACTGAGGCCTATATGTTATCTCTATGGTCAGGGGGTCCAAACTACATATGCTCGGGCAGGAAAGGTCACCTCAAAATCACTGCTGGAGTAGCCTTTTCTTTTTTTAATATATTTTATTGATTTTTCACAGAGAGGAAGAGAGAGATAGAGAGTTAGAAACATTGATGAGAGAGAATCATCGATCAGCTGCCTCTTGCACACCCCCTACTGGGGATGTGCCTGCAACCAAGGTACATGCCCTTGACCGGAATCGAACCTGGGACCTTTCAGTCCACAGGCCAATGCTCTATCCACTGAGCCAAGCCGGTCCCGGCATGGAGTAGCCTTTTCAAAAATCACAGAGTTGTATCTCTCACTTTACTGATTAAAATCCCTTTAATAACTTCCATAACTTTCAGGATGAAATACATACTTCTTAGCCTAAGCCTACCACAATTTTGTTGTTGTGTTGTTGTCAGTCCTCACTGGAGGATATATTTTCCACTGATTTTTAGAGAATGAGAAGGAGGGAGGGAGGTGGGGAGAAAGAGAGGGAGGAAAACTGATGTGAGAGAAACACAATTGGTTGCTGCCTGCATGAGCCCCTATTAGGCCAGGGATCAACCTGAAACCAGGTACATGCCCTTGACCAGGAATCAAACCCAAGACCCTTTGGTGTGAGGACTGATGCTTTAACCACTGAGCACACCAGCTAGGGCTAAGCCTACCAGACTTTTTTTTTTTTTTTTTAATAAATATATTTTATTGATTTTTTGCAGAGAGGAAGGGAGAGAGATAGAGAGCTAGAAACATTGATGAGAGAGAATCATCGACAAGCTGCCTCTTGCACACCCCCTACTGGGGATGTGCCCACAACCAATGTACATGCCCTTGAACGGAATCGAACCTGGGAACTTTCAGTCCGCAAACCGACACTCTACCACTGAGCCAAACCGGTTTCGGCCAGACTCTTTTTGTAGTTCCTAAATTGCACAATGTTATCTCATGCCTCTGTGCTTCAGAAATACTGACCGTTCTGCCCAAACAAGCCAGTCCTCATGCTTCACTATTAAACAATTTTTTCAACTCAAATTAAGCAGTACACCTTTAGAATGATCTCTAGCACACCCCTCCTCCTCCCCGCCACTTGATTAAGATGACCCTTTTCCTAGAGCTCTCACAAGCACCCTAGTACCCCTCCATCACAGCACTTATCACTTTGTGCTATTAGCATTATTTACTTTTTTAACTACACCCAAAGTGTGGCTCTTGAATAGGAACCATGTCTCACTCAGTTTTGTATTCCCGACACATAAAAGACATGTAGTAATAATTCTTGAATCACTAAATTATATCTCCTAGACCATCCTACTTTAAACTAACCTCAATCCTCTTCCTGAATTCTGTTTTCCATATCAATGTCACTCAGTTGGAAGTAATACTGCACTACCTACCCTACTATCTTGTATCATTTTCTAAAACAACAATTACTCATATTTTGTTCCCAGAGATAAATCTTGGGAGAAGAAATTGTGTCACATTACTTTAGTCTCCATAAAAGGACTTACCCACAGACTATTTAGTGCGATTTGTTCACAATGATGTAAGATTACATAGCCAAGAATAATGTAAAGGCTTACTGCTCTCACTATATCGCTGACTTCACTTATGGGTATGTGTATTCATTATTTGTGTGACCTTTGCCAAGTTACAATAGCTCAACTTTTAGATTCTCATTTGGAAAAATGGGGACGACAGCTATATCACATGATTGTGAGTGTGTTTTATGGACTAATACCCTTTCATCTCTGGAACACATGGCTCATATATGCCTAATAGAGCCTGCAACAAGGCAGATCTTCAAATAATTATTGAGCAAATATTTAAATCTATGTTTTTTGGGAGATCAACAGTTGAACAAAAAATGAACATATATTCTGATCATCAAATAAGTACTATCTGTATCAACTTAGCAGAGGAGTCTCTGGCCTGAAATTCTGCCACCAATCAGAGTTACGGGTGTAAGTAGCAAGTTCAGAACAGAACTCTTTGGAGTTATTGATCCGACTCTCTGAGAAGTCCAGGATTTACATTATTTATCCTAACCACAAAGTTATTTTAGATTTAACTGAAGTCAAGCCAACACCTGCATTTAAGAGGAAATACTTAAAAGAAAGGAAGAAAGAAGAAAGTGTACAGTAACTGGAACATTTGTGGTAGATTGTCTGTGGGTACAGTGGAAACAGTAAGGGCTTTGAAATAAAAAAATCCAAGATTCAAATCTTCCTAGCTACATGACTAGGCAAATTCTTAATAATCTTAGCTTCTATTTCCTTGCACTAAAACTATATATTAACAATTTTATACAAGATTGAAAATTCACTATGCAATGGCTGGCACACAGCAGGGACTCAACAAATGGAAATTTCATATCAGGGACCTTAGATCCACCAGAATTAAGCTCTTAGAAGAAATCCTTCACATTTCAGGTAGTTCAGATCATAGAGTTACTTACAGAGATTCTGGGCCGTTTTTGAATCCAACACCTTTAACTCTTTTACTTTTTTCTTTTGCACAGATTTCTTTTCTTCTCCACCTTCCTGATCTTTTTTGGCTAGAAAGGAAAGATTAGAAAAGCAACATTAAGGACAAACCACATCTGTGCCTTAATGAACTAGTGTTCCATCCTGGAAATTTAAATATCTCTCACCTTCTCTATTAACAATGATCTATTATATTCCTTCAAGGCAAACCTCCTCTTTAACTACCCACCCTTCATTACTGACTTCACCCTCCAACTATTAAAAAAAAAAATCTCATTTTCATTTTTAATAGTTATCAATGCTTTCCTACCCACATCTTATCTACTTGTAGGGAGCAGCAAACCTTCTGTAAAGGATCAATTTGGTAAATATTTTAGGTTTTGCAGACCATATGGTCTGTCTCAGCTCTGCCACTATAGCAAGAAAGCACTCATAGACAATACATACACAATATGGTTGTGTTCCAATAAAACTTTATTCACAAAAAACAGGTAGTCAGCTCAAGGCTTATAGTTTGACAACCCACATACACAAAACTCAGAGCTTATTCTTGTATTATTTATTAATTATTGTATTATTTTCCATATGAACTGTAAACCTACAACTGTAAACCTCTGTGTATGTATATATGAGAGAAAACATTTCACCAAAAAACAGAATAAACATTTTTTTCAAATGCTCACATTCCAAGAAAGACTATATCTGTGCCATAAAAATCAATAAAATAGATAAACATCTAGGAAGACTGACAAAGATAAAAAGAGAGAAGACAGAAATGAAATGGAATATCACTTCAGGTTCGAAGCCATGAAAAGGATAATAAGGGAATACTACAAACAACTTTGTACTCGTAAATTGGACAACTTACAAGAAGTGAACCAATTCCTCAAAAAACAAAAGCTACCAAAAGTCAACCAAGATGAAATAGATAACTCAAACACTACTTGAAACCACTTAAAAAACTGAATTCATAATTTAAGAAGGTTCCTCAGAAGGAAATCTCCTGGCCAAAAAGATTCCACTCGAGAATTCTACCAAACATTTAAAGAAAATTAATGCCAATTTTACACAATCTTTCCCAGAAAACAGAAAAGAAGGGAACACTTCCCACTTCATTTTATGAATGCCATTGAATTATTAACTTTAAACAGTTAATTTTTTGTGAATTTCATCTCAATAAAATAATTGGTAATTGTTTAAGATATTAAAATCATGAATTAAACCAGTGAAATTTGAATATGGCTTTATATTAGATGACAGTAATATATCAACAATAAATTTTCTAAATGTGATAACTGAACTGGGTTATGGAAAAGAATGTCCTTGTATTTGGGAAAGGCATAGTGAAGAATTTAAGGATAAAGGGCCATGATGTCAGTACTTATCTCAAACAGTTCAGTTAAAAATAAATAAAAGAATACAGTAAGGAAATATAGTCAATAATATTGTAATAAATATGTATGATGCCAGGTGGGTATTGGAAATATCCAGGGAAATATTTAGTAAAATATAATTATCTACTCACTATGCAATGCAACTGAAACTAATATAATATGATCCTGAATGTAAACTGATATTGAAAAATACCATTTAAATTTTAAAAAGAAATAAAAAGGAAATGTTCATAGCAGCATTATTCATAATGGCCAAAACGTATAAACAACCCAGTGTCCATCAGCTGATAAATAGACAAATAAAACAAGGTATATCTATACAATGAGATATTATTCAGCCATAAAAAGAAAAATGGAGTGTTGATACATGTGACAACAACATGGATGAACAATGCAAATATGCTTAGTGAAGATGCCAGATACAAAAGAGCGCACAATGTATGATTACTTTGATAGAAAATGTCCAGGATCGGCAAATCCATAGAGACAGAAAATAGATTAGTGGTTGCCAAATAGGGAAAGTGAAAATGGGAGTGACAGCTTAATGGATTCAGGGTTTCTTTTGTGTTTTATGAGAATGTTCTAGAATTGCAGTGGCAGTGGTTGCACCACTTTATACTGTATAAAAACTATGGAGTTTGTACACTTTTTTTTTGTTTATTTGCTTTTTGTTGAGACTCACCAGAGAATGTTATTTTCCATTGAATTTTAGAGAGAATAGAAGGGAGTGGGAGACAGAGAGAGAAAAACATCGATGTGAGAGAGACACATTGACCGGCTGCCTTCCGCACCCCTCTTCCCCTCACTGGGACTGAGGATTGAGCCTGCAACTGAGGTATGTGCCCTTGACCAGAATCAAACCCATGACCTTTCATTTCAGTCTGTGGGCCAATGCTCTAACCACTAAGCAACTGGCTAGGGTTAGAATCATACACTTAAAAAAAAAAAAAAAAAAAAAAAATATATATATATATATATATATATATATATATATATATATATATATATATATATATATTTTGTTGATTTTTTTACAGAGAGGAATAGAGAGCTAGAAACATTGATCAGCTGCCTCCTGCACACCCCCTACTAGAGATGTGCCTGCAACTGAGGTACATGCCTTTGACCGGAATCAAACTTGGAACTTTTCAATCCGCAGGCCGATGCTCTATCCACTGAGCAAAACTGGTCAGGTCATACACTTTTAAGGGTGAATTTTATATGTGAATTATATCTCAAATAAATGCACGCGTGCATGCGCACACACACAATGGATCAGAGATTGAAATGGAAAAAGTAAAACTATTAACTTAAAGAATTTGGAAAATGTATTGTAGCATTGGGGTAGGCAAAGAGTTCTTAAGAAACAAAAAAGTGCAAACCAAAAGGTAGGAAGAATCTTAAGTTGGCCCCCAAGTTTCCCTCCTCCTAATGCACATACCCTGTATATAGCCCTTCTCCTTGAGTGTGAGTGGGCCTGACCTATTCTGGTTAGCCCTTTTAAACAGGGTTTAGAGATCAGAGAAGTCAGAGAGAGTCAAAGCTCCAGCAGACACTCTCCTGCTGTTCTTGGAGAAGCAACATGCCAGGCTGTGGAGAAGGCCACATGGCAGGGCATAGTGGGAAGCCTCTAAGAGCTGAGAACAGCCCCTACCTGATGACGAACAAGAAAACAGGAATCTATGTCCTACAATCATAAGGAACTGGATTCAACCAATACATGAGTTTGGAAGAGGACACTGAGCTCCTAAAAGCAATGTGGCCCAGCCAGAACCTTGATTTCAGTTTGGTGTGACCTTCAGCAAAGGATTCAGCTAACTTGGATTCCAGACCCATGGAAACTGTGAGATAATGAATTTATGTTGTTTTAAACTATTCCTTGTGATAATTTGTTACACAGCAATCCTATATAATAAAAGGCTAATATGCAAATCAACTGAAGGGCGGAACAATGGGTCGCTATGATGCGCACTGATCACCAGGGGCAGACACTCAGTGCAGGACCTGCCCCCTGATGGTCAGTGCGCTCCCACAAGGGGAGCGTTGCTCAGCCAGAAACCAGGCTCATGGCTGGCAAGCACAATGGTGGTGGCGGAAGCCTCTGCCACCTTCACGGCAGAGCTAAAAATGTCTGACACAGGGACCGGGCCTAAGCTGTCAGCCAGATAGTCCCTGAGGGCTCTCGGACTGTGAGAGGGAATAGTCTAGGCTGAAGGACCCCCTAAGTGCATGAATTTCGTGCACCGAGCCTCTAGTAGAAAATAATGAAAAACATTAAAAAATTTGACAAACCGAATTTCATCACAATTAAAATCTTTTCTTTGAAAGACACTATTAAGAAATGAGCAAACAAGCCACAGCCTGGGGAAAAATGCTTGCAAAACATGTTTGGTAAAGGACTCGTACCCAAAACATATAAAAAATTTTCATGACCCAACCATAAGAAAATAAAACCAATTTTTAAAAACTGGCAAAGATTTGGGCAAACACTTCACCAAAGAAGACACAGACTGTAAATAAGCACAAGAAAGGATGCTCAACATCATTGTATTAGGAATTAAAACAGCCCTAACCTATTAGAATCACTAAAATTAAAAAGCAAAACTGATGAAGCTAAGTGCTGGATGCAAAATACCTGCAACTCTCACACACTGCTAATAGAAAGGAAAAAAAAAAAAAAAGAAAACAAACAAACAAACAAAAAAAAAACACCACACAAAACAGTACACAAAACAAAAAAAATTGTACAGCTACTTTGGAAAGCAGTTTGCCAGTTTCTTATACAATCAAATATACATTTATTGTATCATATGACCTAACGATCTCATTCCTATGTATTTTCCCATGAAAACTGAAAACAAATATGTCCATACAAAATCTCATATGCAAATGTTTCTATTGGCTTTACCCATAATTGCCAAAAACTAGATCCAACCCAAATGTCCAACAACTAGTAAATGGATATAATACTCAACAATAAAAAGGAATGAACATGCATACCACAGCATGGACAAATCTCTAATACATTAAGATAGGTTAAAGAATACACCCTTAAAAGGCTACTTAGTGTATGACTCCATTTATATATCATTCTGGAAAAGACAAAACTCTAGGAACAGAAAACAGATTAGTGGTTTCCAGGTCTGGTGGTCAGGACAGAGAATGAACAAATAGGCAGAAGAGAACTTTTTAGAGTGATCAAAATGTTCTCTATCATGCTTGTGATATTTATATGGCTGTATACATGTCAAAAAATCATGTAACTGCACATATAAAAAAGGGTAAATTTTACTATATGCAAATTATACTTTAATAAACCTGACTAAACATATTGTATCTTCAAGTCAATAAAATACAATAAATAGGTCTACTATAATTATGAGAGTGATGTTGATAGAACATGTGAACTTCTTAATAATGAATAATAAAGTAGCGAGATTCCTAAAATAAATACAAAACATTTAGTACATGCTAAAGTAGAAATTTAGATCAATGAAAAAAGGATGGTCTAATCCAGAGTTGGTAAAGACCAGAAAATAAATATTTTAGGTTTTGTGGACTGTACTATTTAAGGTTGAACTATTCAACTTTGCTGGTGTAGTATGAAAGAAGTCATAGACAATATGTAATCAAATGGGCATGGCTGTGTTCCAATAAAATTTTATTAACAAAAATGG